AATATGCCATCCCCTTTTCCTTATGAATCAGGGTGAAGTCTCTTTCAGGGAGGAGTGATAGGGAATGGCAAAGGACACACTGACAAAGGAGATGAATCAGAACTGGCTTTGACAAGCACTGTGGCAACTGGACAATTAAAACAGACATTCGGCAGGGGGAAGAAGAATCAATTGGGGAGGAGGATAGAGAAAACAGTGCAACAATGAATGAATGAAAACCCAAAATCTCTGTAAATGTTCATTGAAACTAATAAAATTTAATAATAATTTAAAAAAAAAAAGTCTGTTACACCAATAGATAAGAATGTCAGGAGCAAAAACTATACCACTAAGTCAACGCCCCTCAGTCCATCACAAAGAAAGACAAGGGAACGGGAGGAACACAGGAGTGTGGGGTCTGGGCAGCAGTGCCAACAGGGTGGTGGAGGACACAGTGCAGTGCCATTTTTGGGAGCCACTAGCTTACAAGCCTCAAAAAGTCACAGAGAAAGAGCCCAACTAATGACCCAACATGGCCCCCGCATCTCCGACCCAGGAACACAGGACTAGCTGCTCAGGTTGGCACCTTCCACATGCAGCTGATGCTCTTGGCTGGGCTGTTTTCTGAAATGCCACTATAACTGAGTTCTAGGAAAATGTTTACACAGGCAAAGATTCCAATCATGCATCATAAATAATCCCAATAGGCAACAGGTCTACACAGCTGACGGGGTTTACAAAGAGCTAGAAACACAAGGGGAGCCCTTTCCTGAGGTGGTGCTCCACATCCAACCCTCCTTCACCTGCACTTTACTTATGTTCCTAGCACTGGACCCTCAGAATAAGATCTCAGAAGTAAACCGAAAACACACAAAATTACAAAGGAAATCAACTAGAACAAAAGACCTCATGCAGATGCCAACAGAGACACATGTGCGACGTGGTAACTACAGCCTTTATTAAAGCAGTAAATAAAGACAAAGCAGGCCTGGCCTGGGCCCAGCCCACCAGTCATCACAGACCGGATCACCCCAGGAGTCTGTGGGGCAGGGCTGAAGACCTGAGGGCATAGCCTTGAGTTCAGAGGCCCCATACTCCTCATACCTAAGGGCACAGACTGCTGCTGTTTTATCCCCACCTATAGCTCAGAAATCACATGTCACAAGAGAAAGTCTCCTCTTCCCCAGGGAACAAAATGCTCACAAATTAAATATGGCAATGTCCAAAAAGGGTCACACACTGTGAACCAGAGGTCTTCATTCCCAACCCGGAAGGACGGTTGATTATAAGCTCAGTGGACATACTACAGCAAGAGGACAAAAGAGAAGAACACAGCGTTTCACAAATACCCAGACAGCAGTGCTTCAGCCTCTCTTCCGACAGCCTGTGACACAATAACAACCTCTGCTTAGACCTGGGTCTGCTGTGAACACTTCACAGAAAAGGGGTCAAAAGAGGTGCCATCTCTGAGAACCAGTCTCTCTTCCACTTCACAGTGTTTTCAGGGCCCATGATGCAGCACACACTAGGCTTTGCTCCTTCAGGGTGCCATGTAACCCTCCACTGTATCATCTTCACTCATCCAATTAGCAGGTCACTTATCCAGGATGTTCCTATTTTCTAGCCAATTAAAAATGCCTATGAACACTTGCATGCATGTACAGACATACACTTTCAATTCATTTACATGTGGTGGAACTGCTGGGTTATATAGTGCCCTGATGGCAAAGTAGCTTGGCACTGGGCGACAGCCAAGAGCGTGACAGTTCAAACCCATCAGCTACCCTGAGAAATATAAGGCAGCCTCCCTCCAACACAGTGCCAGAAACCTGACAGGGTGTTGCCATGAGTCAGAATCAACTCAAGGACACCAACCCTGGCTGACACGCCAGTGGATCTTCAGAGGCTGCACATCACACTTCTTGTTGCTATTAGGTGCTGTCGAGGTGAGCGCAAGCCTATGAACAACAGATCTGAATCCTGTCCTATCAAGTGCCATCCTCGCACTCCCCACTGTGGCAGTCACTGTGTCATATACCTGGTTGAAGGTCTTCCTCTCTTTCTCAGATCCTCCACCTTTCCAAGCATGATACTGTTCTCCTACAAACAGCCTCTCCTAGTAAAATTCCCATGAGCCAAAGGTTTATCATCCTTGCCTCCAAGGAGCACTCTGTATGCACTTTCTCCAAGACATATTTGTTTGTTCTTTGGGCAGCCCTTGGAATATTCAGTACTCTTCTCCAATACTATAGCTCAAAGTCATAAATTCTTCTGTCATACTCATTCACTGTCCAGCTCTCAGATACAAGTGACTGGAAAGAGCATGGCCTGAATCAGATGCACATTAGTCCTCAAACTGACATCACTACTCCTCAATAATGTGGAGTGATCCCTGACTGCAGACGTTCCCATGGCACTACATCTCCTGACTACTGGTACCAAAGGTATTGATTGTGGATGCAAGTAAGATGAAATTGCTGACAACTGCAACCTTTTCTCCATCGATCATGATGTTGCCTATTGATCCAGTTCTAAGAATTTTTGTTTTCAAAAGATGTTGAAATGCAATCCATATTGAAGGCTGTATTTTTTTATCTTCTACAAGTGCTTCAAGTCCTCCTCACTCACAGCAAGCAAAGTTGTGTCATCTGTGTAACACAGGTTATTGATGAGTCAGTCTTCCTCCAATCTTGACGCCACATTCTTCCTCTTCATAGATTCCAGCTTCTCAAATAATTTGCTCAGCATATAGACTGAATAGCTGTGGAGAGAGGATACAGCCCTGACACACTCTTTTGTTCATTTTAAACCATGTGGTGTTCCCTTGCTGTAGGTTTGGTTTATGGTGACTTTACCTTTTAGGAACAAGGAGATGATCTTCCAAAGTGGCAATACCATTTTACATTCATACTAGCAGTGCATGAGGGTTCTGATTTTTCTACCTCCTTGTCCAAACTTGCCATTATCAATCTTTTTTTAATTATAGTCTTCCTGTTGTTGTTGTTGTTGAGATGCTGTCTAGTCAGCTTCAACTCAAAGTGACCTCATACATAAAAGATCAAAGCACTGCCCTGTCCTGCACCATCCTCACAATCATTACTGTGTTTCAGCCCACTGTTGTGGTCACTGTGTTAAATCATCTTGTTTTGTTGCTGACCCTCTACTTTTCCAAGCATGCTGTCTCTCCTGATTAACAGCTCTTAAATATGTGAGTCTTGCCATCTTCACACCTAAAGAATATTCTGGCTATATTTCTTACAAGATGGATTTCATATCACTAAACAGACTTCCTAGTAATATAAAATGAACGCCTCATTGTGGTTTTGTTTCCCTAATAACTGATGATGCCAAGCATCTTTTCATGTGCTTATTCGCCATCTGCATGATTCTTATTAGAGAAACTTCTAGTCAGCTCCTCTGTCTACCTTTTAATTACTGAACTGGTAAGTGTGTTTTCTGTATTACAGATACAAATGTATTATTAGATACATAAGTTGCTGTTAAAGTGTTTCTTTTCTATATTGTGGTTTAACTTTCCACTTTCTTGCTGGTATGTATCATTTGTAACACCCAACTTTTAAATTCTGATGATGTCTGATTATCTGCTTTCTCTTCTGCTGCCTAAACTTCCAGTATTATATCTAAGACAGTACCCCTTACCTAGGGTTCTTTTTTAAAAGAGTATTATAGCTTCAGTACTTACAGGCAGGTCTCTCGTCCATTCAGGGTAACTTTTGTACATGGAGTGAGGTTCATGTTGGGGCTGAGGAGATAGTTCTTATCCACAGTAACCCAGTGTACAACAGAACCAAACCCTCTCCAGTCCTGTGCCATCCTCACAACTGTGGCTGAGCTACAACACACTGGTGGACTCACGATGTCAGTCCATCTCACAAAGATCTTCCCTTTCACTGACCCTCTATTTTCCCAAGCATGATGTCCTTCTTCAAGGACTAGTCCTACTTGTTCACATGCTCTAAATATGTGAGACAAAAACTCACCATCCTCATTTCTAGGGAGCAATCTGGCAAACCACTACATCTTCCCAAGTGGATGTAACATGAAGTTGGGGTCATTCAGGAACAGCACTGTGTGGTTTTCAGAAGTAGGGAACACAGGAAAAGACCACAGCCAGCATGTGTGCTGCTTCTGGAACCTGGGAACCTGTCACTGTGGCCATCTCTGCCAAGTCCCAGCCTGAGACCACAGTCGTACTGTGGCCACTCACACTGAGACAGTGCTATGAACGTAAAACAGCTGCTGATGTCACAGAGCACACCGCGGACGAGGACCTGTATGAAGTGACTCTGTGAGTCCCTGGCAGCACAGCCTAAGGGATGGGACAGGGCAGTGATTCAATTCTCTAACACTACAAAAAAGAAAGTGCAGACAGGAGAAGTGAGAAAATAAAAGTCTTAAGAGATAATAACCAGGTAAAGCTCACTGTGTGAATATGGATCCTGGTTTGGTGAACTAGCCCAAAGAAAAAGAATTCTCTGTGAAGTCTTTGCTGAATATTGAGATACTCAACATGTCCTCACATGGATCCTGATTCAAGTAAACTGTATTTTATGTATGGGGGGGGGGGGGGGGGGAGGGGGAAGAATTATGTATGGAGACAATTGGACATTTCATACTAGCTGACTATGTTGTGATATTAAGAAATTATGCTAATTTTATGCATAAAAACAGTATGATGCTACAGTTATGCTCCAACAACAGAAGCTGTATATTTTAGAAAGACAGAAGGGAATATTTACAGGGGAAAAAAGAAAGCGAGGACAGAAGTCGGGTGACAAGACAGTTTGAATTTTTCACAATATATAGGTAGGCTGTGTCTTTTTAAGTCCCCTGCATCCACCATAACACAATACCTGTCCCTTCTGGGACTCCCAGTCACCCTAACAGTGAGTGAAGACATGCTGAGAGGGGGATCTCTTTGGCCAACTCAGCAGTGCCCCAATGGGGGTCTGGTGAGGCCACAGTGACACATAGGGAAGAGCACAACAGCACCCACAAATCCTGGGAAACCCAAGTATGGCTGGAGAGCAGCTCTCACACCTCCTAAGGCCACTTCTCCTTAATGGATGTCCCGAAGGCACTTCAAGGAGACAATCTGCACACAAGCCTGTGCCTCAGAGCCCAAGACCACGCCCCAGCACCCCAAAGCCATCCTCTAGCACCCAAGCCCCACAAGCTCAGCATCCCAAGCCTACGCCTCAGTGCCCTGAGCCCAGAGCTCAGTGCCCCAATGCTACATCCCAGAACTCCAGCCCAAAGCTCAGCACCACGAGCCCACACCTCAGCATCCTGAGCCCACAGATCAGCACCCCAGCTTACAGCTCACCACCTTGATCCTGCACCTCAGCATCCTGAGCCCACACCTCAGCACTCCAAGCCTGCACCTCAGAGCCCCAGGCCAAGCCTCAACACCCTTAGCACCTTGAGCCACTGAAAAGAGAATCCAATGGTCAAGGAGTGGGGTCAGAGGTCAGTGCACTCTGGACCAGAAAGACTTTCTCTTACCAGATCCATGTACTGGGCAGCTGCCCTCTCTCCCCCACCAGCCTGGCAGCGAGGTGGGCAGGGAGGACAGACATCCTTCTGTCCACTGGAGCAGCTGTGGGCATTTTCCCTTCAGGTCTGCCCCTCTAGGGCATGGAAAACCTGCTTCACTGGGCCTCACTACTCTCTATCCTCCTGGAATCTTCTCTGTAGGTAGAGCCCCAGCTGCTGCCCTGCTGGGACTCTACCTACAGAGAAGGTTCCAGGCAGCTCCAGGCAACTCCCCTGCGCAGCTGTCAAGACACCACCTTCTCCTACCCAGCTCCTCCAAACCAATCTCAGAAATTAGAGTGCCCTCCTTACCCTCAGGGCAGTGGTTTTCATCAAGACAGACAGACAGGACTTTGCATAATATCCAACACCACTGCCTCAGTGATGGAGCAGCCACCCTGGGAGCCATGATACGAAGGAAGGCTGTGATGATGCGTGTCCACAGGTAAATGTGGCTCACACTCTGATTGTGCAGCACCTCACTGAACAAGCAATGCCCCTGGGGAGAACCCCATCTGAACAAGATGGTAGTGGGTGTGGCCTGCTCCAGGATCCTACCCTGCACTGCTCTCTGGGAACACTGGAAGTACCTACCATCTCATTTCTCATGACAATCAAGGAATGGGGG